CTACTACACGGCGCTGACGCTGGCGGTGTTTGCGGACCTCGGCTACTACCGCGCAAATTGGAGCATGGCGGAACTGATGAGCTGGGGCAAGAACGTCGGCTGCGAGTTCCTGCAGAAGAAGTGCGTGGATATCAAGAACCTCGCCACCAGGTACCCTCACATGTTCTGCAATAAGGAGGACAAAGCGACGTTCCGCTGCTCCTCTGACCGCCGTCACGTCGGGACGTGCACCGGACACATCGTTGAGTCCAAGGGGAGCTTGTACTATAAGGACGTCTGCCCTGTTATTTCGACGTCGTTTTATGACATATTGACTGGGGAAACGCCCAACACGTGTACAGGCGCAACTGCGGAAACCCTCCCTGGGTCGCTGACTGGCACTGGCTCGTGGTGCCTGGATGCGGAAGCGCTGCAGGTCAAGGGTGGCGACGGCGGTAAGAAAATCGCGGGGGCGTGCGCACAGGTGTTGTGTGAGGGCGGCACAGTGAAGGTGAAGTACCTCGGCGCCAAGGAGCCTGTGCCATGCCCCGAGGGAAAGGAAGTCACGGTGGTGGCAAATGATCATCTGAAGGGCGGGAAGCTAAAGTGCCCCAAGTACGCCGAGGTGTGCACCATCGCCGCCAACGGCAGCAGCCTCGTCATTCCGCGCGTTGAGGAGGGGGCTAACGGAGACGCCGAGGAGAAACAAAAGGAAGATGCAGCGGAGCACAAAAAGAAGGAAAAAGAGGAGGCGGAGGATACTCCGTCACTTGAGTCACAGCCTGCAGAGTTGTCTTCTGGAGCTGCGGGGGGCGATCTTTCCAATCCAAAGGCTGCAGCGGAGGTTGGGCCCGGCACATTGCCGGCTGCTGAGACGCAGGAGACCGAAAATGGGCCTGGCGGTCCTGCTCACTCCGCTGCAGCCTCGCCGCCCCCAGCTGACGCCGCCCCCTCACCGGACGAGGCCGTTGCCGCAAAAGAAAGTGACGCGGAGGAGGCGGCGGAGGAGGCGGCGGGAGCAGCTTCTGCGGCCCCCGATGTGCCTGCGCCGCCCACCCCGACACCGACGGCATCCGTCAATGGCAGCGCCGTGCAGAAGAAACTTGACGGGGCGGCGCAGCAACTCGGAGGCGACGCCGGTGCGGCTGCTGCGGCTGTTGGCTGCAGTCACTTTGTGCTGCTCGCCGTGGCCGCCGCGGCCGCGGTGGCGATGCTGCCGTCTTGAGCCGTGGCAGGAACTGCGGCTGGGCGCGAACATATTGCGGCGGGGGAGTAATGAATATATACACACACACACACCTGAGCGCCCCCCCGTGGAGCCCCGCACTCAGGCCGCAGTGAAGCAGTAGTAGAAGTAATAATACAATGCACTCACTCACTGCGCTACCCTTGTTTGCTTTTTGAAGGGTGGAAAATAACAACTCTTGCTTTGCTTTGCTTGCGAGTGGCCGCTAAACTGATACCTGTGTGTTGGGCGGACTTGTTTTGCGTGGAAGCTGTGTGGGGCAAAACAATAATGTGTATGAAGAAGACAAATCCCGGCATCACATAAATGCACAGATGCTCGGGTCTGTTGCTGTGGGCGGGGAAGGGGAAGTCACTGCACTCTGAGGGGGGCGAGGGTGGGTCGGTGACTGTTCCGCCGCGGGACACGACGGCTGTCTTTGCTGCCGCATTCAATACACATGGGCTTTTTCATTTTCTTTTTTTCTTTTTTTTGTCGGCCTCTTGCTTCTTCTCTATCTCTTCCTGGATTGGGCTGTGTGGGAGCAGAGAGAGAGATGGTGTGTGTGTGTGCTGGTCGCCCCACGTGTCGCTGCGCGTCCCCACTGCTCGGTGGACGCGCCCCCACGCTTCGGCTTAACTTTACGGGGTTTGTTTTTAATTTATTTGTGTTTGTGCGCTTTGGTTGACCGCACCCATTGCGCGGGAAGCTGAGGTGTGGCGTGCGCCGCGTACTGCGTGTGCCCCGCACCGTGTGGGCTGCGGTGGCCTTCTCTCCCTCTCTCTATTGCTGAATGTGGCTGCGTGGGGTCGTGTGTCTGTGTGCCTATCTTTTTGTTTCTCTTCCCCTTGCATTCTCTCTTTGGCAGGCGGTTGGTGTGCAGCCGCAGCGCAAGACAACAACACCTACAACAAAGTAAGAAAATCAAGAAACAATGACTGAAAGAAGCGAAGAAGAAACTCACGCTGCTGCGGAGAGCCCCGCCACTAATGCGCAGCGTCGGTGGAGGTCGGGGTCCGACAGCGGCGGTTCCGATCAACCCCCTGCACAGCGCAGAAGGATGGAAGAAGCACCTGCGGGGCCACAGTGGGCTCTTTACAGTACCGTGGAGGAAGTGCTACGGATTGAGGGAGTAGATGCTACTGAACAAATGACGCTAAACGACTTCATCAGGAGATACGTTGATCCCAATTTCGTGCTCGAAGGCCGCAATGTGATGATGGGGGTGTTTGCGCGTAGGCCTGTGGATTTCATCAGTGACGAGCGGCTCCTTGGAAGAATTCTTAATTCACCAGAGTACCAGACAGAGTGTCAGCGCCGGGAGGACGCACGCAATCTACATGCGGACGCACGTAATCTACATGCGGACGCACGCAATCTTATAAGGCAAGGCGTGTATTCTCTCGGTCAATGGAAGGACTTTCATCAGAAGGGCATCGTTGCTGCTATTACAAGGTCAAAACTCAACGCCGCCCTTGAGGTGGCGGAGGTACTCGAAAGGGCGTGGCGGGTGAAGGAATTGCCAGACGGCCGTTGCCGGAGGGCTTCTACGACTCTGTGCTCAAGGCGAGGTGGAGCCACGTCTTGGGGTTTCCCGAGGGCGAAGGGGAGGA